TTTTCTGGACAGATTTCACTTTCCAAAGTTAAATCAAGAACAGATAAGCAACTTAAATGGACCTATAATCTCTAATGAAATTGAAGCAGTCATTAGAAGTCTCCCAACCAAAAAAAGCCCAGGGCCAGATGGCTTCAGTGCAGAATTCTACAAGAAATTCAAAGTACAGCTAATACCAATTCTCCTCAAAGTATTCCACACAATAGAAGCAGAAGGGTCATTACCAAACTCTTTTTATGAGACCACAATACCCTTGATATCCAAACCACACAAAGACACAACTAAGAAAGAGAACTACAGACCAATATCCCTCATGAACATTGATGCAAAAATTCTCAATAAAATATTGGCAAATCGAATGCAAGAACACATCAGAGAAATCATCCATCCTGATCAAGTAGGCTTCATCCCAGGGATGCAGGGATGGTTCAACATATGAAAATCCATCAATGTAATCCACCATACAAACAGACTGAGGAAAAAAAACCACATGATCATCTCACTAGATGCTGAAAAAGCCTTTGACAAAATCCAATCCTCCTTCCCTCTCCTAATAAATTCTTTCCTCCACCCACAGTTGGTAGTCTCATGTATGCTAGCACAAAGGCATCAATCTTCTGGACAAATCAATGGGAGAGAGCAGGATAGCAGGCAACCGCATTTCATTGCTTACTATGGTAAGACAGTCTATGATGACAACTGTAAAGACTATAATAAAGGAATGTGTGGCCTATAAACTAGCCACTTTTGGCAGACCTAAAAGCTAATCACTACAGTGATAAACGTATCTCTCCACACTTACCTTCCTTTACTGGTGGTCAACTTGCTGAGAGTCCCACTGTCTTCTGTCATGGATCTGTAGAATTGATAAAGTCCATTTTAAACTGGAGAAAACTGAATCTCAGACATCAAATACAGAGATAATTGTCCAAGGAAACAGCATGATTCACATACATGAAATGTCATTTCCCAGTGTGAAAAGGTGCTATCTCCACATGATTCTTCTCACTTTAACTAGTTCAAGTATTTACATTATTAAGCCACATCTCCACATTCAGGGAGAAATAGGTAACCCTATGATCTCCCTGATCATGATTAAGGCAAAATCATTAGCAATGTGAAAAAAATCAAATTAGTGAAAGCATACTAGCCCATAAATAAAGCTTTGATATTTTTGTGAATCTGCCAAGATAAGTTTGAATTTCAGAAACTCTCAAACAGTCCTATAATAAATATTAAACAATTTTGAGAATTTTTGTTATATGTGTGCATTTAAGCATTATTTCGAATTTAAAAATTTATGTTAAATCACTTTACTTTAGATGCCAACAATGTTTATGTGGATAAATGTGTGTTTCAATCAACTCCCAAATTGCACAACAGATAGCAAGCATTTCTGAAATGTTTGTGAAAGACAACATGTCATGTGTGTGTGTCCCTGTTCATGTATGAGTACATGTGTGTGTGTGATGTCTTTTCTACCCATGCTACACCTTTTGGGGAGTGTGTAGGGGTGGGGGGACACACAGAGTCAGGTTTGTACATGGAGACTAAGCACCAAAACTCAGGTTTGTATGGGTTTCATGGCAACCATTTTTCTTACCATGAGTATTGTGGCATGGGCTTGTAATTCCAACCTGGAAGACAGAGACTGGAGGAACCCTGCGGTGCTGACCAGGCAGTCTAGCTGCCTACAGCAGTAGTCTCTTCTTGATGCTGATGGAAAACTGAGATTTTAGTGACGGGAAGACACATGGAAATCAACCCAGTTTACAAGGTGTGTCTGTGCCTCTCTTTGTATTGCCTTACCTATAATTTTATTTTAAATAAAACCAGCCCATTTATATAATAATAGTACATATATGTGCATATCTAATATATACCTGTTGCTTTCACTTCCTTCTCTGTCACATAGCTGTCTCAGTTTACTTTGCTTTATAAATATAGCTGTAATAATGATAACTGCGGGTATAGATATATAGAAAATGAGCTGAAGCTGCTGTTTTGAAAAAATACCATTACTTTGCTGCCGCTTATAGCTTTTACCTAGAATGGAAAACACCAGTTTTAAATTGCGTCTGAAATTTTATTAACCAAATGGAAAATGGAAAAGATATCATTACTCAACTTATTCCCCAACATTAAATACTTCATTCAAATATACTAGAGTATAATTGTTAAAAAAACTATAAAATTGAATCAATGTATATAATTAAAGTGTTAGTTCCTTTTAAAATTATTTTTCCCTTTTAAGTATAGTTACACCATTTCCTCTTCCGTTTCCTTCCTTCAAGCCCTCCCTGTCCTCCTTGCTTTCTTTCAAATCCATGCCCTCTTCTTCATTTACTGTTATGTGTGTGTACACATACATATCTATATATAACCTATTAATCATTTCAGTCTTTCAGTACATGCTGATTTCCTTTCTAGTTTATCAACCCACCCTACCAATATAAGGGACTTTGCCATCCACATGAGAGTGTGAACTAGTTTCACATATATCAAGGGTGGGATATCCATCATTGTATCTTTGTGTGTTAACTGCTCATTCTGTTATCCAAAGATGCCTGACAATTATTAGGTTTTGTACTTAGAAAGGGTTGCTGTTCTAATGAATACTTAAGTTTATGGATGAAGACTTAGAGAAGGTTAAGAGTAAAGACAGGAGTAGTTAACAGGGGCAGGCTACAAAAATGCCTCAGTTGCCATAAATGATTGCTGGTGGAATTGCCAAGATTATCAAGACAAATAGTTATTTTCAAGTATGAGTTCCAGTGGAAGTTGGCTTGCAAGTTTCAGGCTTGCTCCAAACCCCTGCCTTTCCTTCTTTTCCAGGTTCTTCACTTTGGAATTTCAATCCCACTCCAGTTCATCACTGTTCTTTAGGATTTAGCTTTGGTTTCACGGGACAACAGCCCCTGAGGAACATTGCCGCTAAATGAATCATAATTTCAATGTACACCATATCCAATTTAGGCAACATTCATAGGCAAATTTGGACTTAGAATTGATGCTGGAAATGGTGGAGATTTGAACAGCAAAGATAGAATGAATGTATTTACAGACTGGAAGAACATGAATTTTTAGACTTATGGTTTTATAATGTTCTAGGTGATGCTGCCTGCTCTGAAGTCCAGATTTTGAGCCTCAGCAGCTGATGTAATGGTGTTTGGGAGCTGGGACCTTGGGAGATAAGGTTAAATAAGGCTGAATGCAGGAGTCCCAGTAGTCACAGGATTCAAAAGCAAGTTTCCTGTCCAGTGGAAGTTAATAAGTTCTGTTTTACAAAGAAGCAAATGCCTTCCTGTAAATGTTATGCTGGCAACTTGTCCGTTAATCTCACTGACAGCGTGGCTCTGGAGAGGAGATTTGGATCTGCCATTTCATACTCAAGTGTGTTTCTCTCAAAGTGTCCTCCCAAGCTCTGCCCTGTCATAGGTCAGCCTGAATCCCTGGTTCTATGACATGGAAAAGGAGAACAATAACAAATAAAAAGTCCCAAGAGTAAAGGCATTGTGCCCTTAAGGACATCAAGTGAGCAAACTATTTCCATGGAGCTTACTACTGTTTACTTCATGGTATAGAAATATCTTCAGTAAAAACAACAATGGGTTGCTCATCACTTAAAGAGAATTTTTTTGCATTTAAGTCTCAAAATCACATAAAACTTGCTGACACTAGGCATGCTTTTACCTTCATATGCAATGTCAGTACTGATAGGGAAAGAATCTAAGAAACTGTATGGTCCAATTTTTTTAATCTCATGAAAAGCCCCATTTGCCAAATTAATTACTACATAACGTAGATATGAGCATTTGATTAATCCTCTTACATATTACATTTAGTCAATAAGATTTTAAGAACTCTAACCTTGAACAGGGTACGAGTGTCCATCATCAATGCTTCCAAACTGTCCGCTCATTTTTTCACAGTTAGGAGGATTGAATCCTTTATCACAGTGGCAATGGTGATAATTGTTGCAAACCTGGAAAAATCCAAAAAAAAATATTGAGCACCACACTGGACTACACTCTAGGAAATTTAGTTTACATGAACAAATCCACCCAACTTCCTCTCCTAACTACCCATACTTCAGAGGGGACATCTAAGCTCCTGCAGCCAAGTCAGCTTGTGTTTTCTAATTTATTTTCAGCTTTCCCACAACCATACCCAAGCACCACAGCTACGAATAACAGCCAACTAATAGCCATACTTGCTAGCTTCACTAGGCATCCCAGACTCTAGTAAGCCCAGAAATAACTTTCTAACAACATTGGTTCACTGCCTCCTGCCTTGTCTCTATCAGCAGAGGGCTGCACAGTTCTATGGCTACATGAGGATGCACTCCCTGTACTTCCACCACTCCACATATTCAAACATTTTACACATTCAGAGCTATATTCTGTGGCTAGTTGGCAAGGTCCTTAGGAAAAGAAAGATGGAATTACACATTATAATGAATATGATAAATATAGTAAATATAGATAGTATCTATATGTAACATAATATAAATAATATTAATATAAATATAATACATCTATATAATATATAAATAAATTATAAATTTATACATACATCTATAAATAAAATATATTCCACTTATACTATATGAGATATGATATGTTATATATATTATATATGGTAAAATATGGTATAATAGATATATGTAACATAATAAATATAGTAAGTATGGTAAGTGAGTCACATTTAATGTTTTGCTTATTGGATTACGAAAGCCACGTTGCCGAAATAAATACTTACCCCGTGGTCATTACAGTCTCTAGTAGCATCGCAAGATTTAAAATCTGACAAAAACCGCATTTCTCTGCACACTGTGGACATACAGAACTAAAGCAAAGTGAGGCAAAGATAAAAAATAAAAGCAGTCAAACCATGAAATTGAGAGCATGGACAAAACACAAGACACTTTTAGGAAAATGAAAATTCATATTATCTGTAATTGTGATTCAAGCCTGTGATACTATGGCCAAGAAAAAGGTAATATTTATATATTGAAATGAGTTTTGTACCTACAGACTGCAAACTATGCAAGGACTTTTGCATCCTATTTTCAAGGCTTCTGCCGGAAGAAGTCCTCTTGCCAAGATAAAGGACTGGTAGGAGATGGTATCAGTTTTGATCACAAGTGGAGGGAAGCTGTGTGTCCTGAAGTGTGTGAACATTTACAGATAAATGGTCTATTTGATGAGTTATTATCAAAACTAACTAGCACATAATACTGGTATCAGAAGTATAGTCATTGCTGACATAAAGTTGTTGGGAAGTCTTTAGAAGTGACTTGCAGGGAGGAGATGGAGCTTGGAGCTAGAAAATTCCTGGAATGTTATAGGCAAAGCCAAAATGGTCATTGTGCTAGGAACTCAAAAACTCAGTATGCTGAAAGGAACATAGGCAGTGGGGACCTGAGTCATTTGGTTTTAAAAAAAACTGCAGGGACTGTTGCTAGGAACTCGGCTACAAGCCGTGCCTGTGAGAGTCTGGCAAGATTCCAGCAGCATTTTGTCCATTGTTGACATCTCAAATTAAGCTAAATTGTATAGTACTAATTAATTTGTTTGGTCGAGGACATAAGGAACATGTAAAGGCATTCAGGCTGTGTTCTAGTTACTGTTTACTATGCCCTGGTGTGTGTGTGTGTGTGTGTGTGAGAGAGAGAGAGAGAGAGAGAGAGAGAGAGAGAGAGAGCAGAGTTGGGAAACATGATGTTTGTCAGGGAAGATATGGGTTTCATGTTGTAGACAAAGGCAGTACTGAGGGAGTCTGCTCTAAACTGGTACCACAGGAAAGGATTCCTGAGGGAAAGGTACAGCCTTTCAATATTTTCATCTTGTGAAAATACAAATTCATTTGAAAAGGAGAGAGCCTAAACATAGGATGTGGAAGAGGGGCTCTCTTCTCAAAAACACCGAAGGACAGTGTTTCCCTAGGGTCAGCACACATAGGGCAATCAATGTATCTGTGGTCCAGGAAAGTCAGGCTACATCTCAAGCTAGCAGCAAACTTTGCTGGCATCATCCACATGGTACTGTTTTCACAAGTGTAATGAGTACCAAGACTGGGGGGTCAGAGACCTACGTGCTCCATGGATACAGAGAATGGCTTATGCTAGGCAATAGGGGGTATGATCAGATTTATTACAAGGAGGCATGAAGCTGAAAAGGTAAGTCTAAGTTGCCATTAGTCCCTAGGATAAAAGAGACGCCAACATTGACAAAAGCTACAGGCACAGATGAAAAGCTGGTCAGAGAGGGGCTATGCTACAAGCAACAGAGGCAGAGAATTTAGAGTACTAAAGTCCTTTAGATCCCATTTGTTCCCATCATGAGTGCCAGATGCCCAGTGTGGCAACATTTTGTGTTTGCTGGGGTTTTTTTTTCTTAATTTGGTTTAAAATTTACCTTGCTATACCCCTATAGCTCATATCTGGAATGGAATCTTTATGCCATTGTAAGTTGGAAGCATGTGACTTTTTTTGATGCTATTGAGATGATGGGTAAGAGACTGTCTGCCTCAGGAGAGACTTTTACCCTTGAACAGTGTTGGAACTGTAATGACTACAGAGACCTTTGCAGCTGGACTGAAAGAATTTTGCATTTTAAAGTGGTCATGAGCTGGATATGCTGGATGTCGAGTGGGTAAGGGGTGGGCTTTCAGTAGTTAATTTTGATTGCCAACTTGATAAGATCTCAAGTCACCAGGGAGATAAGTCTCCGGGCCTGCCTGTGAAGGAGTTTCTACATGGGGTTGAGGTTAGACGGCTCACCTACTGTGGCAGTAGACTGAAGACAAAGGAAAAAGTAAATGAGATTCAATATCTACTGCTCTCTGTTCCCTGACAGCAGATGCAATGTGACCAACTGTCACCATGCCTCTTCCTTGCCATGTTGGAATATGTAGGACAAACCCTCCCTTAAACTTGCCTCAGTCACAGCATTAGGAGAAGTAACTAATACAAAGATTGACAGCAGGAATTCAAAGATGACTTTGATACCACATCAGCACAATAAAGGGGAAAATACAAAAGAGCCAATGGGGAGAGCTATGCTAGAAAGGGTTTTCTTTAAGAGAACTCAAACTACAGATCTTCATAACTTTAAACAAAGTGTAGAAGTGACAACAAACCAGCCTCCAACTAGTAGGAATATGGAACCAAAAACTAGAGCACAGAGAAACAAGATTGAGAACAGAAACGATGAACCTGATAAAACCAAACCTTGAATCTCTTTAGGAGAGCAAGCTTGACAAAGATTTCAGTTGCAAGTAATAGTTTTCTAAGTTTTGGTTCAAGTATGCAAAATCAGAAATAAAAAATCAGAACTTCACCGCCAATTGCACAGAAATAAGAATGCTTGCCAAACAAAGTGGACCATGTAGTTAGAATGAAGAGTTCCTAGAAGCACAAAACCTGTTACGAGTTGTTACATTCTGTATCTTAAGCAATGCACAACAGCTCTTGTGGGAAAGGTTAAAGAAGCTGGCTGAAGAGTTTTGAGGAAACGACTAAATCACAGCAGCTTTGTCCTGAGAATTACATCAACCTATTCATGGATTCATAACTTGGTGGCATTATTGAGCATTGGTAGAGACTAGAAGATGAGACCTGTTGAAGACCAGGTCCCTGGAGGTGACCTTTGTGGTCACATTTTGTTCCAGATCCCCTCATCACTGCTTCCCAGATGGAAAGAGATTCCCCACCTCAGGCTAAAGTGAAATTGCTGATCACTGGCTAAACTCAGGAGACAAAACAACAACAACAAAATTCTACCTGGAAGCTGTTTTCCTGCTCAGGAATATTCTCACAAGTGAGCAAAAGGGCCTAGTACAGCTATACATGGCACCCACAAGCAGGTCAAAATAGAACCGGTAAGGGTTCTGAATCAGTAGCCAACTGTATCTCTACCAAGAAAATTGAGATAGGAAGACACAACGTGATTACTTGCCCTGGCCTCACAGTGGATTCTAACAGTTAAGAAGCACCACCAGATCTCTTCCAAATTTTTACTGCAAGTGGAAAGGTTAGAGCATTTTCTAACTGATTTTGTGAAGCCATCATTTGCCTGATGACAAAGCCAAAATACAGACCAACATCTGCTTAAAAGGAAAAAAAAAAATGCTGAAACAAAGCCAGACAGCAGCTCTCAGCATATTCAAATATAAATTATTTCTAGACTACAAGGTGCTTTGACATAATGGAGAGAAAAAAAAAAAAACCACTTAAGACAAGTCAGACCCCCAATTGAGAAAAAGCTGCATAAGATCAGGCTGTGCCCAAATCCAGCTTTTTCTAAATTAGTGATTGATGTGGGAAGGCCCAGCCCACTGTGGTGGAGGCACCCCTGAACTGGGGTCCTGTGTTCTACAGGAAAGCAGCAATGGGGAGCCATGGGCAAAGTGCTCCTCCATGGTCTCTGCATCAACTCCTGCCTCCAGGTTCCGGTCCTATTGGAGTTGCCCCTTTGGCTTCCCTCAATGGACTGTGATATATCAGCCAAGTAAACCCTTTCTGCTCTAAGTTGCTGTGGTCATGGTGCTTCATCATAGCAATAGAAACCCCAACTAAAACATAAATTGAAGACTTTCAAGTATTTATTGGTCATTTTTACTTCTTTTGAGAGCCATCTATATAATTCATTAGCCCATTTATTGCTCTGATGATTTAGGGTTTTGCTATTTAACTTTTGGAGTCCTTTATACATTTATGGTTCTTTAAAGATTTATAGTAGTAGAATACCCCTAGGTATATTCCTGAAGAAATCCAAGTCACTGTAATGTTGAGATGCCTGCAGGTCTTTGTTTGTAGCTTCAGTCTTCACAAGGTTGAGAACTGTCTATTAGTTACTTTTCTACTGCTGTGGAAAAAATAACATAACCAAGGCAATTTATAAAAGAAAGTTGTGTTTGGGGTTTTTGAGGTTTTCTTTTTTTGGACTCACAATTCTAGGGAGATAAGTGTCTATCACCATCATGGTGAGGGAGCATGGCTGTAGGCAGGCATGGTGACTTGACGAAGCTGAAAGACTACATCTTATATCACAAGCAGGAAACAGACAGAGCAAACCTGAAAATGACATGTCTTTAAACTCCCAAAGGCCACCATCAATGCCATATTTCCTGCAGTAAGGCCACACCTCCTCAGCCTCCCCAAACATCAGCAGTAACTGGGGACCAAGCATTCAGATGCCTGAGACTATTACTTTCAAACCACCACATCAACCAAACCTATAGGTCCATTCACAGATGAATGGAAGAAAATGTGGTACATGTATACAATAGAATATTTCATTCCATTATCAAGGAGAATCAGTGTGTGACGTTTTCAGAAAAATGGATGGAACTAAAAGTCTCATCATGCTAAGGAAAATGAACCAGAAAAGTAACATCATACAATTGCTCTCATGTTCAGAATCTAGATTTAAATTTACACACATATGCATATGTATGTGTCTGTGTGTGTGTCTATGTGTGTGTGTGTGTGTGTCTGTGTGTGTGTGTGTGTGTGTGTGTGTGTGTGTGTGTGTGGTTGGAAGGTAAGGAACATTAGAGGGAGAGAAGGTAGTGGAAATAAAGTGATAACAATGCAAAGTGATCATTTGGGGAAGAAGAAGCAGCAAAAGGCATTGGTAGTAGGGGGAGAATGAATAGTGGGGAAGTTTAGCAAAACATTTATACAAACAGCACCATTATATCAATTGCTTTATGCATTTATTAAAAGTCCATTAAACACACTACCAATACTCTAGCAGGCAACACACAAAGGGGGGGGTGTTGGAAAATAATGTCCTACACAAGGTATCAGCATCCAAAACAAAGAGTTCCTAAGTTCAACAACACCACCATTAAAAGTGGGCCAATGAATTAAAATTATATTTCCCCAAGTAAGATACACAAATGTACAGTGAGCCCTGAAGAGAGGCCCCACCAGACCAACCACCTGTCAAACACAAACCAAGACAGCATCTCACATACATGAGGATGCCTGCTACCAAAAAGTCAATAATAAGAAGGGCTGGTGATGCCATGGAGGAACCAGAAGCCGTGTTGTTTACTGTTTTGGCTGTGACTAAGGTTTACTCTTTACGGTTTGATAGGATACAGTCCATCATGGCAGAGGTGACCCAGAAGCACTAGGCAGCTGACCACACTGCATCCATATTCAAGAGAGAAAGGTGGGGGGTAGAGAGAGGGAACAAGAGGCAGAAGAAGGGATGGGAGGGTTCGGTCTGGAACCCAAGCTTATGAAATGGTCTCACCCATATTCAGGTTGTGTCTTCCTATCTCAATCACCCAATAAGGGATTCCTTACAAATATGCCAAAACTTGTTTTTGAGGTGATGCTAGATTCTGTCAAACTAAAACCAATATTATTACACACACTATTTAAAATGTTGGCAGGAATACAAAATGCTATAACCATTATGAACAATGATATAGTAGTTATTCAAAACATTGAAAACAGTATTACCTTACAAACCAGCAATTCTACTTCTAAGTATATACTCAAAATAACTAAAAGCAGGATCAGGAGCATTTTTGATCCTGCAGCATTATTTACAGTATCTGAAGTATGAAAATAGCCATGAGCTAAAGAATCGATAAACAATACCCAATATATACAAACAGTGAAATGGTGCACAGCCTTGAAAAAGAAGCTGTAATTTCTTCTACAGTGTGGATGGTCCCTAAGGATCTCACCTAAGTGAAATAAACCAAACAACAAATGTTGAATTTTTCCACTTTTGTGTCATTTCTACAGTGATCACAGAGCACAGAAATGGGGTTCCAGAGATTATGGAGGGAAAGGAAGAGTTGTCCCATAGGTAGAGTTTCAGCTCTACAAGATGAAAAGGCTATAGAGATGCACAGTGGTGTGGTGGTTGCTCAGCATTGGAGGTGAGCTTGGTACCACTAAATTACACTCATCTATTAAGATGTGAATCTTTGTTATTCAACATTTTACCACAATGAAGAAATTATAAAAAATATACTGCTTGATATAGTGTCGAGATAGTTATTATCACAAAATAATTTTAAATAAATTTAAAGTATTTCAAGTTACCATATCAGGGCCACAGATAACACCATCTTCTACAAATGTTTCATCTCTGTCTTCAATAGTGCTGTATGTCGTCATTGTCTGCTTAGGTATCCTTCCGCCTTTATACAGAGATACACATATGTTATCTTGTACATGTGTATAAGCCGCAGACATATTGGCAAGATTCACTAACTTCTTGAATGGCCATGTACAGACTAACTTCCCACACAGAACATTTCTGGAAGCATAAGGGGAAAGGTCGCTTAGAATTTATTTAAATAAGTAAGTGATATAACAGACCAGCAATTAAAGGCTCCACATGAGGACCGCCTTCTCTAAACTTTTTATTTCTGTTTTAGCTTCCTACACATTGTGAGAATAAAATGCACTCCTCTTTAACTTAGTACACATCTAAGTTAAAAATGTCTTCCTAATTTAAATCAAGGTTGAATCATTTTTTCCTCCATTAAAATTAGCATAACTTATGAATCTTTTTTTTGAATGGGGCAATTTACAAGTAAAAAAATTAATCATCATGACAGATCTTTTATGCTTTGTTCTAGCTATGGGAATTTGAACTAATAACCATTGATTGTAAGGTTTTTTTAATAAGTAAAACAGGATAACTTTTATTTATATATTTTGTGAGGTATATCATGTTTATAATAAAAATGTATGTGAACTATCTAACACAATAACTATGGAAACTGTTTCCAAGGTAGCTTTAACATTGTAGGCACTGAACAAATGTGCAAGAGAAAACAACATTCAGTTGAGATCATGTGACAAAGGAAACCTGGCAAATACCCCACTGTGGTTCACACAGAATATATTCCAGTATTTGAGAATATACATTCTAAACAAAAGTATATTTTTCTAAACACATACTGAAATTTACAAAGTTGAGAAACACAGTTGCCAAATCTATCACCTCTGGAATTCATCTCTTCAAAACACCAGAAGGGAGCACCTCTCACACCTAAAGATAAAGACAAAAAGAACCAAAATGTATTAAGAGTTCATCTCACACTACAGGACCCATAGAGCTGGACTGGGAACTTCAATGTGACCCCTTAACATCGATACATTGTTGGGATTGAGAACTTACAAAGAGATATCTGGGTTCTATCACTTCCTAGGAGACTGACCAAAGGAAGAAGGGAAGAAGGGAGCGAGAAAGGGAGGGAGG